AGATATTCTGCATCGTTGGAGACATCCTCTTGTCGGCGTATGGTATGTATCTTCGCTCGATGTTCCTGTTGGAATGGCGAGCACATCATACGGCGAGGCTACAGAAGATGTGGTTGAAAGATTCAGCGTGAGAGATTCTTCCCGGGCGGAGCGAAGCACATTTTAATCATTATCAGGCACTACAGATTGCAGTTGGTTGGTCTGGAAGGCTCCACGACGAGGGTGACGACTCTGGACAATCCCGACCAGCGGATCGCAAACGATGTGAGCTGAAGAGAATATCACGGAGTAACAAGTTCTCGTACAGGTTAACGTCTTCACCGACGCAAGTTGGTCGCTCGTTTCGGGCATCATGCTCTCTGGAGGAACACTTAGTGAGTAACAGCAACTACCCTATAATATCACTCCTCATTTTCAGTCGTCTTTCTACCGTTATTATTCCGACTTTCGCCGATGGACGCGTTCGGAGTACATGGTCTCCGACTTCCGGGATGGCTATTGTAACTATCTTCTACTACGTTCTCATGCATGCCTCTATACTGCAGGTATACGTCTCTGGTCTACTGCCTTCTGGGCTCCCTGGGAACTCATCTGGTTGGCCAGCGGCTGATTGTGAGCACTCAATGTTGGGGGTAGCGGTGAACGGTTGAGCAGGTTCTTGATTACGCGGCTCAGCGAGTTGAGGCGGACTTTCGATCGGATCTTATCCGAATCAGAGACCATGGCGAGGCTGTGGCGATGCTCCATGCGCAAGGTTAGTCGGAGGGCCTCTCCTGAGGATGGGAGTTTGACTGTGTAGGTCGAGAGTTGTCCAGACTAGAGAGGAGCTTCATGAACATCAAACGCATAACGTGAGCAGTGGCTTACCGCAGAGGTTCGATTCCCGGGCATGGCACTTTTCAGATACGAATCTATGTTTGTCACGAAACGCCTGAAGTTGTTCGACTCCTTCTTCGAGTACACTGGCAGCATCTTTCCTCTCTTCGTACGCTCGCAGTGACCATAGCAACTCCCACTGCTGATTTTAGGTTCTGTCTGGCGCCTACTTCTCGAGTGAAATCACCCTCGGTCACTTGAACCAGACGGTGCATGCTTTACGATATGTCCTGGAGGCCCTCAAATGGTTTGTACAATCTTACGGTGAGCAGTGGGCCTTGACGATCATCATCATCATCATCATCATCATCATCATCATATTCATCATATTCATCATCATCATCATATTCATATTCATCATCATCATCATCATCATCATCATCATCATCATCATCATCATCATCATCATCCTGCAGGTATAATTATCAAATGGCGAGCTGCTGGCAATCGTCTCTATGAGTTCGAATCGACGCTGAATCTTCTATCGAAATCAAGAAGTGGTTTAAAACCCATCCCTGGTGTGTTTCAACGAGTTCTTCCTGATTAACGAGAATTTCCTCAGGCGACGACGATTCGCTGTCTCTCGAGTCTTGTGATGTCTACACCCCCACGGAGACCAAAGGCCTCTTCTTCTTACCAGGCAAGGAAGAGGACGATCTCGCCCTCCTCACCGAAGTGAACTTGAAAATCGGCAAAGGCGAATGGACATTACTAAGCGGTCCCGAAGGCAGCGGAAAGACCAGTCTATTGAGGGCCCTGGCCGGAGTTTGGCCGTAAGCAATCTGTGCTGCTTCGCTCCGCCTGATTTAGATTTTCGCACAGGTTTGTGGGTCCAAATTCTCGATTGAAGATACCCCCAGGAGACAGGTCGTTGTTCTTGCCATCGAGAAAAGCTCCGTTGAGAGATGGTAAGATTGCAAGATTGCTAGTCGTACGAGTCTTTGAAAAATATTTCTATTTTGGGTATGCAATAATATAATCAGATGTTATTATAAATGGCATTCGTTAACGTACAATATTTTAATATCAGATGGGGTGCTATTATCATGAATATCTTATTCTATATTGGAGTTTCACGACCCGTTTTACGTGAAGTGGCGTAATACTCCATGAAAAACGCGATATTCGCGGTATAGTTGTGAAATATATTTTTCACTAGTGTTTTTCATATCACTAGGGTGAAACTCCAATATTAGTAATATTCCATTCACGTTCACTTAGAGAGGCAGTTTGCTATCCAGAGGATACCTCTGTCTATTCTG